GTCCAGACCCGAAACGTTAGCTTTCCTGCTCCTCTGATGCTGTTTGGCCTGCTGTGTTCATCCAGCTCTAGACCTTGTTATCTCTGGTTAAAATAAAGTTTGCTGTAATACAAGATAAGGTCAGGAGTAGGCCACTTGGCCCTTCAAGCCTGCCCTGCCATTTAATAAGATCATGGATGATCTAATTGTAATCTCAAATCCACATTCCTACCTACCCCCGGTAACCTTTCTCACCCTTGTTTATCAAGAGGCAATTGATCTCTGCCTTAAAAGTATCATAGGCTCTGCTTCCTCTGCCTTTTGTGAAAGAGAGTGCAGGAAAGATATTTAGGCCTTAGAAGGTAGATTCACCAGAATAAAACCAGGGCTAAGGGTATAACTATGAAGGAGAGGTTGCGTGACCTGGAACATAGCAGATTGAAGAGCAACCTAATTGAATTTCCTTCTTTACTGAAGGAAAGAAGGGAAACAAAAATCTTCACACAAAATCTACAGATGTCTCTGCAGACGTTTGAAATCTTTGGGATTGAGATTGATCGTTTTCTGTTGAGTATAGCATCAAGGGATGTGGGACCAAGGTGGGGAAATGGAATTCAGGGAATAGAATGAACTCATAAAAAGATAGAACAGACTTGGACAGGCTGAATGGCCAACACTTATTCCTATTTCCTATTCTGCTTCTCCGTTCTTTAAAAAAAGTTATAACTTTTTGTGAAGGCAACGCAAATAAAGTCACAATATGAATGTGATTGGGAGGTTGAAGTGAGCAAATGATGTCTGTTTATCAAATTTGCATTTGTGTTTTTGGCCTCACTAACAGGCAGGCTGTAAGGACAGTGAAGAAGCTGCAGCAGGAGTAGGTCACTCAGTGCCTTGGATAATGTCAGGGATGGCAACATTTTATACTGAGACCAGTGGAGCTAACTGCTTCTTCACTTGTATTTTTGATGTGAGAAGAGCCATAGAAAATAGGACCAGGAATCGGCCATTCACCCCTTCAAGCCTGCTCCGAGCAATTTGGCAAAACGTTTTGAATGAGTGGCCTGCATCCGAATAGACTTCTGAAGTGTTTCTTTGACTTTAAAGTACTTCAAGATATCTTGAGGTGCTACAGAAATTCCATTCCTTCTTTCGCACGCTGTTAGAGAATAAATTCTAACCTTGCCAGTGATGTCCACATCCTGAGAATGAATTAGAGAGGAAAAAATGCAGCCAGAAGTCACTGGCAGAAAATCAAGAATGGATCGCTGGCTAGTATCCATCCTGTCATGTCCTCAGATCGTGTACTTTCTTCCCATTAGAATATTCCTGACACCATCACCTTGCTAGAGATATGTAGTTTTACCTGTTGATAGATTAGCTGCACTTGATATTACTCAGTTTAATCATTGCATTTTGCTCACGAGCTAGTGGAGGGACATAATTCATTTATAGCATCAACCAGCAAGTTTGGAGCATTAGCAACAGATTGGATCAGAAAGATTGAATGTCCTGTGTCATGCATTCTGTTCCTTTTTAATTCATTATTAGGTTGTGCAAGTACCCACAATTGTTATAAAAACCAAAAGAACTGTGAATGTTGTAAATCAGGAGCAAAAACTGAAGTTGCTGGAAGCTCAGCAGGTATGACAGCATCTGTGAAGAAAAATATCAGAGTTAACGTTTTGGGAACGGTGACCCATCCTCAGAACCGAACCCGAAACTTTAACTCTGACTGTTTTCTTCACAAATGCTGTCATATCTGCCGAGCTTCCAGCAACTTCAGTTTTTGTGCCTGCAATTGTTGCCCGTCCTCAAATGCCTCCTAAGGCAAGGGCTCTTGTGGTGCAGAGTCCCTACCTCTGGATTGAGAGACCTGGGTTCAAGTCCCACCTGTTCCAAAGAGACGTAATAACATTTCTGAACAGGTTGTTTAGGAAAATAGGCAAATGCCTCCTGAGAAGGTGTTTGTGCAGTCTGCCTTGAGTGGGCATATCCAAAGAGCTGTTCAGGAAGGAATTCCAGGATTTTGACACGGTGACGGTGATATCGTTCCATGTCAGAATGGTCTATGGCTTTGAGGGTGACTTGCGACTCCCATGCTCCTGTTACACTGTGAAGCTACTGTCGAAGGAGGATTTGTAAGTTATTGCAGCGCATCTTCAGATGGTACAACTGCTTCCATTGTAAACTGGAGGGAATGAACGTTTAAGGAGTGGATGGGTTGCCAATCAAACTTTTTCCTGGGTGGGGTTGAGCTTCTTGAGTGCTGTAGGAGCTGCACTTTTCCAGGAAAGCGGGGAATAATTCCATCACATTCGCGACTGCTGCCTTATGGATGTTGGACAAACGTTGGGGAGTTGGAAGGCGAGTTAGGTTGCAGAATATCTCAGCATCTGACCTGCTCTTGTAACTACAGTAATTATATATGACTGTC